CCCCCCCTCTGCTCCCGTGGGTGGCAGGGACACCACTGACCTCCAGAGTTCTCCGCATCCCTCCACAGGGCAAAGCATTTGTTCAGCTCCAGCCTGAACTAGAAATGCCTCCTCCCCCTCTGGGCCACCCTCCCACTTCCCACCATCTCCCTGCCACTCCGAGCAGTGTGAGCGGTTAACCCGGCAGAGCCACACCCACCAGTGCGAATTGACGACCTTGCAGAGCGCCAGCTCACAGCACATCCGCAGGTTGGCCTGGTGGTCCGGCAGGGTGGACGAGGAGCATTTCATGGGGTCCACTTCGCAGTTCTCCTCTGACTCGTACAGCGCCCGGATGAACTCACCTGCAGGTTGGGGGGCAGAGAGCTAGTGGGGCAGGGAGGGGGGCAGGCTAGACACTGCCCTAGGAACCAGCTCCTACCACTCTGCACACCCGTGCTAGCCATCGGGGCCTGGAGCTGCTGCACCAGCCTCTCCAGAAGCCAGATGGAGGGAGCTGCCAGCTCCAGTCTGTCCCAGGGCCAGGGCCAGCTCTTGGGCTGAGTATCACACCCCATCTATGGGCTGGGTACGGGGCTCAAAAACCACCACCCCTGCCTCCCAGCAAGCAGGGCACATGCTCAGGACCCAGCCTCCCCACCAGCGCCCCACCCACACCCGCCTGCACTCACCAATGGCATCCTTGAGGTATTTCTGGCCAATGAGTTTCAGATACTCCTCGATGGCTTTCGTGGCCAGGGTGTTCTCCCGGAAGATCAGGTGCTCCCGGTCTATGAACCGATCCACCTCCGTCATGGCCATGTCCGAGAGGAAATCCTGCAGGGGTCATGCCCGGGCTGGTTAGCAAGGGGACCCACACCCACAGCTCCCTTCCCTCCCCATGTCCGACAGGGCCTGAGAGGCATTCTGCCCTCCGAGGCTCCCACTGTCCTGTACCTTGGCTTTGCCAGTGCTCTGCAGGATGTGCACCAGCGCACAGGCCACCTCCTCCTTGCTCTTGACGCTCAGCACCGGCTCCAGCACAGCGCACAGCATGCGGTAGTTGTTGGTCACGTACTCGGCGAACTCCTTGTACAGCTCCATGGGCAGGATGCTCATGGTCTGGAAGCGGCTCTTGACACGCACTGCGGGGCAGCCGGCCTTGCTCTTGCTGGTGCTGGGCTGGCTGAGTGGGTACCACTGCTCGGCAAAGTGGCGCCCAGTCACGCTAGCGATCGGGATGCTGACCATGCCCACATAGTTGCTCTTGTCCTTCTTGCGCTTCTTGTCCGTGTCCTTGTAGAGATGCAGGCGGATGGTGCGCACAGCGGGCAGGTTGTTGAACTCGAAGTGCTCGCCCCAGAAGACATTGTCCGTGCGCATCTTGCTGGTGGTGCGGGCGTAGAGCATGTCATCCAGGCACAGCTCGCAGTAATAGCGCTTCTTGGGGGGCAGGTCCCGCGCCTCAATGATCCACAGCTTCAGCACATTATCCACACGCCGGCTGTTATCCTGTGGGCACGGGCAGATGAGGGAGGGGGGCTGGGAGTTACCCTGGGGGGACTGGGTCAGAGGGGGCTGGGTCTTACCCTTGTTGGGTGGGTGGGGGGGTGTGGGTGTGGGGGGGGGGTCATGGGGTGAGCCAAGGCAGTTGGTAGTTACCCGAGGGGGGGAACAGGGACGAGATAAAGGAGCTGGGTGTTAGACGGGGGACCTAGGGGTGAGACAAGGCGACTGGGAGTTACCCACGGGGGGTACACGGATGAGATGAGGGAGCTCGGTGTTACTCTCACATGCACAAGGGTCAGATAGGGTTGTGCTGGGTGTTACTCTGGGAGCTCAGGGTTCAGACAGGAGGCTGGGGGTTACTCTGAGGCTCAGGGTACAGACAGGAGGCTGGGGGTTACTCTGAGGCTCAGGGTACAGACAGGAGGCTGGGGGTTACTCTGAGGCTCAGGGTACAGACAGGAGGCTGGGGGTTACTCTGAGGCTCAGGGTACAGACAGGAGGCTGGGGGTTACTCTGAGGCTCAGGGTACAGACAGGAGGCTGGGGGTTACTCTGAGGCTCAGGGTACAGACAGGAGGCTGGGGGTTACTCTGAGGCTCAGGGTACAGACAGGAGGCTGGGGGTTACTCTGAGGCTCAGGGTACAGACAGGAGGCTGGGGGTTACTCTGAGGCTCAGGGTACAGACAGGAGGCTGGGGGTTACTCTGAGGCTCAGGGTACAGACAGGAGGCTGGGGGTTACTCTGAGGCTCAGGGTACAGACAGGAGGCTGGGGGTTACTCTGAGGCTCAGGGTACAGACAGGAGGCTGGGGGTTACTCTGAGGCTCAGGGTACAGACAGGAGGCTGGGGGTTACTCTGAGGCTCAGGGTACAGACAGGAGGCTGGGGGTTACTCTGAGGCTCAGGGTACAGACAGGAGGCTGGGGGTTACTCTGAGGCTCAGGGTACAGACAGGAGGCTGGGGGTTACTCTGAGGCTCAGGGTACAGACAGGAGGCTGGGGGTTACTCTGAGGCTCAGGGTACAGACAGGAGGCTGGGGGTTACTCTGAGGCTCAGGGTACAGACAGGAGGCTGGGGGTTACTCTGAGGCTCAGGGTACAGACAGGAGGCTGGGGGTTACTCTGAGGCTCAGGGTACAGACAGGAGGCTGGGGGTTACTCTGAGGCTCAGGGTACAGACAGGAGGCTGGGGGTTACTCTGAGGCTCAGGGTACAGACAGGAGGCTGGGGGTTACTCTGAGGCTCAGGGTACAGACAGGAGGCTGGGGGTTACTCTGAGGCTCAGGGTACAGACAGGAGGCTGGGGGTTACTCTGAGGCTCAGGGTACAGACAGGAGGCTGGGGGTTACTCTGAGGCTCAGGGTACAGACAGGAGGCTGGGGGTTACTCTGAGGCTCAGGGTACAGACAGGAGGCTGGGGGTTACTCTGAGGCTCAGGGTACAGACAGGAGGCTGGGGGTTACTCTGAGGCTCAGGGTACAGACAGGAGGCTGGGGGTTACTCTGAGGCTCAGGGTACAGACAGGAGGCTGGGGGTTACTCTGAGGCTCAGGGTACAGACAGGAGGCTGGGGGTTACTCTGAGGCTCAGGGTACAGACAGGAGGCTGGGGGTTACTCTGAGGCTCAGGGTACAGACAGGAGGCTGGGGGTTACTCTGAGGCTCAGGGTACAGACAGGAGGCTGGGGGTTACTCTGAGGCTCAGGGTACAGACAGGAGGCTGGGGGTTACTCTGAGGCTCAGGGTACAGACAGGAGGCTGGGGGTTACTCTGAGGCTCAGGGTACAGACAGGAGGCTGGGGGTTACTCTGAGGCTCAGGGTACAGACAGGAGGCTGGGGGTTACTCTGAGGCTCAGGGTACAGACAGGAGGCTGGGGGTTACTCTGAGGCTCAGGGTACAGACAGGAGGCTGGGGGTTACTCTGAGGCTCAGGGTACAGACAGGAGGCTGGGGGTTACTCTGAGGCTCAGGGTACAGACAGGAGGCTGGGGGTTACTCTGAGGCTCAGGGTACAGACAGGAGGCTGGGGGTTACTCTGAGGCTCAGGGTACAGACAGGAGGCTGGGGGTTACTCTGAGGCTCAGGGTACAGACAGGAGGCTGGGGGTTACTCTGAGGCTCAGGGTACAGACAGGAGGCTGGGGGTTACTCTGAGGCTCAGGGTACAGACAGGAGGCTGGGGGTTACTCTGAGGCTCAGGGTACAGACAGGAGGCTGGGGGTTACTCTGAGGCTCAGGGTACAGACAGGAGGCTGGGGGTTACTCTGAGGCTCAGGGTACAGACAGGAGGCTGGGGGTTACTCTGAGGCTCAGGGTACAGACAGGAGGCTGGGGGTTACTCTGAGGCTCAGGGTACAGACAGGAGGCTGGGGGTTACTCTGAGGCTCAGGGTACAGACAGGAGGCTGGGGGTTACTCTGAGGCTCAGGGTACAGACAGGAGGCTGGGGGTTACTCTGAGGCTCAGGGTACAGACAGGAAGCTGGGTGTTACTCTGGGGGCTCAGGGTTTAGACGGGGAGGCTGGGTGTTCCTCTGGAGGCTAAGGTTCAGATGGGGAGGCTGGGTGTTACTCTGGGGGCTCAGGGTTCAGACAGGGAGGCTGGGTGTTACTCTGGGGGCTCAGGGTTCAGACAGGGAGGCTGGGTGTTACTCTGGGGGCTCAGGGTTCAGACAGGGAGGCTGGGTGTTACTCTGGGGGCTCAGGGTTCAGACAGGGAGGCTGGGTGTTACTCTGGGGGCTCAGGGTTCAGACAGGGAGGCTGGGTGTTACTCTGGGGGCTCAGGGTTCAGACAGGGAGGCTGGGTGTTACTCTGGGGGCTCAGGGTTCAGACAGGGAGGCTGGGTGTTACTCTGGGGGCTCAGGGTTCAGACAGGGAGGCTGGGTGTTACTCTGGGGGCTCAGGGTTCAGACAGGGAGGCTGGGTGTTACTCTGGGGGCTCAGGGTTCAGACAGGGAGGCTGGGTGTTACTCTGGGGGCTCAGGGTTCAGACAGGGAGGCTGGGTGTTACTCTGGGGGCTCAGGGTTCAGACGGGGGGCTGGGTGTTACTCTGGGGGCTCAGGGTTCAGACGGGCGGCTGGGTATTACTCTGGGGGCTAAGGTTCAGACGGGGGGGCTGGGTGTTACTCTGGGGGCTCAGGGTTCAGAGGGGAGACTGGGTGTTACTCTGGATGCTCAGGGTACAGACAGGAGGCTGGGAGTTACTCTGGGGGTCAGGGTTCAGACGGAGGGCTGGGTGTTACTCTGGGGCTCAGAGTTCGGACGGGGGGCTGGGTGTTACTCTGAGGGGCTCAGCGTTCGGACGGAGGCTGGGTGTTACTCTAGGGGCTCAGGGTTCAGATGGGGAGGCAGGGTATTACTCTGGGGGTCAGGGTTCACACAGGGAGGCAGGGTATTACTCTGGGGGCTCAGGGTTCAGACGGGGAGGCTGGGTGTTACTCTGGGGGCTCCGGGTTCAGACAGGAGACTGGGTGTTACTCCGGGGGCTCAGGGTTCAGACAGGAGGCTGGGTGTTACTCTGGGGACTCAGGGTTCAGACGGGGAGGCTGGGTGTTACTCTGAGGCTCAGGGTACAGACAGGAGGCTGGGTGTTACTCTGGGGGCTCAGGGTTCAGACGGGCGGCTGGGTATTACTCTGGGGGCTAAGGTTCAGACGGGGGGGCTGGGTGTTACTCTGGGGGCTCAGGGTTCAGAGGGGAGACTGGGTGTTACTCTGGGGGTCAGGATTCAGACAGGAGGCTGGGTGTTACTCTGGATGCTCAGGGTACAGACAGGAGGCAGGGTATTACTCTGCGGGCTCAGGGTTCAGACAGGAGGCTGGGTGTTATTCTGGCGGCTCAGGGTTCAGACGGGGAGGCTGGGTGTTACTCTG